GGGGTGGACAGGAGCAGGGGGACCCAGCTTGGCCCTACGGCCCCCTGCTGACGCTCTCACCCCACGCCCAGCTGCCACTCACAGCTGACACGCTCACCTTTGCTGAGGTGTCCAAGGACCCCAAAGGCCTGGAGTGGCTGTGGAGCCCCCAGATCGTGGGGCTCTACAACCGGCTGCTGCAGCGCTGTGAGCTCAACAGGCACACGACCGAGGCGGCCGCAGGGGCCCTACAGAACATCACCGCGGGCGACCGCAGGGTGAGTGTCCCCGGCCTGGCCAGTGTGGGGTAGGAGGGGCAGAGGACAGAAGCCTGCTCCTTGGAGCTTACAGCCTGTTGGAGGAGGGACCATGGACAGGCGCAAAGCACAGGAGCAAAACTGCCCAGTGTGCCGTGTGGGACAGCAGCTGACCGGGCCTGCAGGGCCAGTGGGCAGGGCTTGTCTAGGGCAGCCAGGAGCCCTGAGGTCAGCGTCCCGGGGCTGGGCCTTGAGCCCGTGAGGAGCTAGATTCTGCCCGGACAGGAAGGTCTGAGCAGAGCAGAGGCATCCCATGAGGTGGAGCGGGGCAGAGCCTGGCTTGAGATCCCCATGAGCTGGAGCGGGGGTAGGGAGGAGCAGCCTGGACGGCCAGCCTGGGGCCCAACCCACTCTCGCTGACTCCCCCAACACACGCAGTGGGCAGGCGTGCTGAGCCGCCTGGCGCTGGAGCAGGAGCGCATCCTGAACCCCCTGCTGGACCGTGTCCGGACCGCTGACCACCACCAGCTGCGCTCACTGACGGGTCTCATCCGAAACTTGTCCCGGAACGCCAGGAACAAGGACGAGATGTGTGAGTTGGGTGGCCCCGGTGTGCACTCTGCCGACGCTCCGCGCAGCTCCATGTCTCTGCCCGGTAGTGCTCTCCTCGCTAGCTGAACCAGATGTGGCAGTCAAGCATGCTGGCTCCCTGGGGGAGGCAGGGGACCTAAGGGGCTGAGATAGCCATGAATGGGGCACAGACTGACCTCCCCCGACCTTCGGCAGCTACAAAGGTGGTGAGCCACCTGATCGAGAAGCTCCCTGGCAGTGTGGGTGAGAAGTGTCCCCCAGCCGAGGTGCTGGTCAACATCATAGCTGTGCTCAACAACCTGGTGGTGGCCAGCCCCATCGCAGCCCGAGACCTGCTCTACTTCGATGGGCTTCGAAAGCTCATCTTCATCAAGAAGAAGAGAGACAGGTGAGGGCTGACCTGATCCCGGGCGTCCTCCGTCCCCTCTGCCTCATGGCCACCCTCCTGAATTGCCCCCTCCTCCAGCCCTGACAGCGAGAAGTCCTCCCGGGCAGCCTCCAGCCTCCTGGCCAACCTGTGGCAGTACAACAAGCTCCACCGGGACTTCCGGGCGGTATGTCCATGTCCCAGGGAGCAGGCAGGACCGTGGGCAGTGGGATTGGCCACAGAGAAACACAGGCCCCATGTGGAGCAGACCTGGGACCCAGAGGCGAGGGGTCTGGGCCGTGTGCAGCCACAGCGGGGAGGGCGGGCAGGCAGATGTACACCCTGACCCCGGCCTCCTTTCCACTGCAGAAAGGCTATCGCAAGGAGGACTTCCTGGGCCCATAGGCGAGGCCTCCTGGAGGAGCAGAAGGTGATGTGGCCTGCCTCCGAGGACCAGGCTCGGTCCAGGCTGCTTGCCAGCCTAGCCTGAAGAAGGCCGATGCCCAAGGGGCTTCTCACTGGAGCCCTGTGTGCACCTTCAAGGGGCCTGGGCCACAAGGAGGGGACAGAGGCTTGGAGCTGGGGACTTGGCTTCTGCAGGGCAGGGGGTGGGGCAGGGCTTGAGGCTGCTCTGGTGCATGGGGTGGTGAGCTGGTCACTTTGGCAGAGGTAAGGCTGCCGGAGACCTGGCAGTGCCTCTGCTCAGCCCACGCTAATAAAGGTGGTTATGAACTCAGCCGCAGCTTCCCTGGCTCATCTGACCCAGGAAGTCTGACCCTGGGGTGCCTGCAGTGTCCCCAGACACACCTGCCTCTGATGACACACCCCCTTGAGATTCCCAAGCCTGCAGGGCCAGTGGGCAGGGCTTGTCTAGGGCAGCCAGGAGCACTGAGGTCAGCGTCCCGGGGCTGGGCCTTGAGCCCGTGAGGAGCTAGGTTCTGCCCGGACAGGAAGGTCTGAGCAGAGCAGAGGCATCCCATGAGGTGGAGCGGGGCAGAGCCTGGCTTGAGATCCCCATGAGCTGGAGCGGGGGTAGGGAGGAGCAGCCTGGACGGCCAGCCTGGGGCCCAACCCACTCTCGCTGACTCCCCCAACACACGCAGTGGGCAGGCGTGCTGAGCCGCCTGGCGCTGGAGCAGGAGCGCATCCTGAACCCCCTGCTGGACCGTGTCCGGACCGCTGACCACCACCAGCTGCGCTCACTGACGGGTCTCATCCGAAACTTGTCCCGGAACGCCAGGAACAAGGACGAGATGTGTGAGTTGGGTGGCCCCGGTGTGCACTCTGCCGACGCTCCGCGCAGCTCCATGTCTCTGCCCGGTAGTGCTCTCCTCGCTAGCTGAACCAGATGTGGCAGTCAAGCATGCTGGCTCCCTGGGGGAGGCAGGGGACCTAAGGGGCTGAGATAGCCATGAATGGGGCACAGACTGACCTCCCCCGACCTTCGGCAGCTACAAAGGTGGTGAGCCACCTGATCGAGAAGCTCCCTGGCAGTGTGGGTGAGAAGTGTCCCCCAGCCGAGGTGCTGGTCAACATCATAGCTGTGCTCAACAACCTGGTGGTGGCCAGCCCCATCGCAGCCCGAGACCTGCTCTACTTCGATGGGCTTCGAAAGCTCATCTTCATCAAGAAGAAGAGAGACAGGTGAGGGCTGACCTGATCCCGGGCGTCCTCCGTCCCCTCTGCCTCATGGCCACCCTCCTGAATTGCCCCCTCCTCCAGCCCTGACAGCGAGAAGTCCTCCCGGGCAGCCTCCAGCCTCCTGGCCAACCTGTGGCAGTACAACAAGCTCCACCGGGACTTCCGGGCGGTATGTCCATGTCCCAGGGAGCAGGCAGGACCGTGGGCAGTGGGATTGGCCACAGAGAAACACAGGCCCCATGTGGAGCAGACCTGGGACCCAGAGGCGAGGGGCCTGGGCCGTGTGCAGCCACAGCGGGGAGGGCGGGCAGGCAGATGTACACCCTGACCCCGGCCTCCTTTCCACTGCAGAAAGGCTATCGCAAGGAGGACTTCCTGGGCCCATAGGCGAGGCCTCCTGGAGGAGCAGAAGGTGATGTGGCCTGCCTCCGAGGACCAGGCTCAGTCCAGGCTGCTTGCCAGCCTAGCCTGAAGAAAGCCGATGCCCAAGGGGCTTCTCACTGGAGCCCTGTGTGCACCTTCAAGGGGCCTGGGCCACAAGGAGGGGACAGAGGCTTGGAGCTGGGGACTTGGCTTCTGCAGGGCAGGGGGTGGGGCAGGGCTTGAGGCTGCTCTGGTGCATGGGGTGGTGAGCTGGTCACTTTGGCAGAGGTCAGGCTGGGGGGGACGTGGTCCACGCTAATAAAGGTGGAAATGAACTCAGCCGCAGCTTCCCTGGCTCATCTGACCCAGGAAGTCTGACCCTGGGGTGCCTGCAGTGTCCCCAGACACACCTGCCTCTGATGACACACCCCCTTGAGATTCCCAATGTCATCTTCCTCACTGGGAGGAAGGTGTCCAGGAGAGGGGGGCTGGCAATACAGGGCCGAGAGGGTAGAGACAGGAAGACGGCAGGGCCAGCCTCAGGGCCACATGAGGCAGGCACGGCAGGGCTGGGACCACACGAGCAGCGGTGACAGAGGCGGTGCTGCCTGAGTGGTACGCACCTCTCTGCCCACCCCAGATGCCCAGCAACCTCGGCCCGGCCCCCTGCACCTAGAGGTCTCCTGGCCAGGGGCTCTCACGGAGGATCCGGGTCACTACCCACCTCACTCAGAGGCAGGACACGTGGTTGTAAAGCTGCCGGTGACATTTTTACAACAAAAAGCTTCAGCAAAGCTTAAGACTCAAGGTCTCTGAGGGGGGCTGTCTCCACCTGGATCGTTTGGGATTGGAGTGAGCGCCAATTTCCAACTAGGGGCCAGTCAGGGAGACCCAAGGAGGTTACCTGCAAGGGACATGCTGAGCTGGCTCAGGACAGAGGATGGAGAGAGAGCAGATTTGGTGACAGAGTGATGGCGAGGATAAGAAGGGACAGGTGGAAGGGCCAGAGAATCTGAGCAAAAAGAAGCCTGGGGTGCTCCGCTCAGGGCGCTGCGGGGCCCCTCTTGCCCCAGGAGAGGAGCACGAGGCCGAGGCAAAATCCAAAAGGACTTTATTTTCTGGCACTAGGAGGGGCCCAGGCCCACACTCCTTCCCTGAGAGTCCCAAGGCCACAGGCAGAGGTCCTTTTTTTTTCAGAGAAAGGACCTCCCTGATCCTGTCCTCCAGCTGTCCCTGGAGGCCCAGCACCAGGGCAAGGGAGAGGGGGCTACACGTCGTCCTCAGACACCAGGCAGTAAAAGTCCGTGCGGACACCGTAGTTTCGGGAGCCAAGGTCCGAGACGTCCACCTCGCTGCTCCGGCTGTCCCCCAGCGAGACCCCACTCCCGGGCGGTGGAACTGATGGCTCCCCAAAGACTGGCCTTCGGACACCTGGGGAGGAGGTAGGAATCGGAGGCCTGAGGCTGGGCTGCCCACAGTCTGCCTCCACCAGGACCCGCTGCCAGAGCCACTCGGTGCTCACCCCTCTGCCACAGTGGCATTTCAGTCCGAGAAGTTCCCACGCTGGCCCCAGGCTGAGCAGCTCCAGGGGAGGAGCTCAGGGAGGAGCTGCTGGGACAGAGGAGGTCAAGTCCCCGACTGGGGACAGTTCCTAACACCTCTCCTCTCTGCCCTGTGCTGTCCACCCTCCACCCCAGGCCAGCATCTCTAGCCAGGGGTGGGGCTGAGGAGGCCTACCCAGGTCTCCCTCAGGGTCAGGGTCCAGCTCCGGGTCCAGGCTCCCGCCCTCAGGGATGCGGCCTCGGACAATCAGCATGGGATCCTTGTCATCCTGCAGTTGTGTCTGGGGGTCCCCCTCCACCGGCCTGTACTGCATCTTCCGGGGTAGCGCCAGCTGCAGTTCTTTCCAAAACTCAGAAGAAGGCGTCTGGGGACCAGGTTGGGGCAGTCGGCAATGCGCGAACTCGTGTGGGGTGCAAATGGGCAGCCCATGGCCGCCTGGCCCCAAAGAGCGCCTGGCCTTTGATGCTGAACCACAACCCGTTGGTCCCACCAGACAGCCTCCGTCCCGAGCTGGGGCACAGCCCAGCTCTGCTCACACCCCGTGCTCCAGCGCCTCCCCACAAGCCCCTCCGCACCACAGAGCCAGGCCTCCAGAGCAGCAGCGTCACCAGGTGGCGGTGCTGGCGCAGCAGGCGGAGCGCAGGATGCACCGGGTCGCGCCGCTGGCCCTCGAAGGTGATGAAGATGGGTCTGCGCGTGAGCTCCAGCAGCCGGCACAGGCCCTCCCTGCGGAGGTGGCCGTCCGGGGGGCGCGGCTGGGGCCCACCCAACCCCGCGCGGGACCCACCGGAAGCTGTGGCTGCACCAGGGCCGGCCTAGGAAGGCGTCTGAAAGCACCACGATGAGGCGCCGGCAGCGGCTCAGGTTCACCAGGAGGTCGGCGGAGGGCTCTGCGGGGACCCGGAACGAAGAGCAAAGGACGGGATGAGCCACTGGGCAAGGCCTGGTGGCGTGGCCTAGAGGCAGGGCCTCGGGACTCAACGGGCGACGGTGGGGAAGGTGGGCGGGGCGGGATGAGCGATGCGAGGCCTCGGGGGCGGGGCGAGGGGCGAGCAGGACAAGCGGTAAGGGCGGGGCTACCTGCACGCGGCAAGAGATCGCGGTCGTCCAGGAAGAGCTTGTAGCCACGACGCCGCTCCAGCTGCGGCTTCAGGATGAAATTGACGAACTTACGGTCCTCGGGGCAGTCGCTATAGGAGACGTAGGCGTCGTAGAGCTTCCCGTCTGCGGACAGCGACCGATCAGAGCTGCTGCTTCCATGGCCTTGGCGCGTAGTTACCCACCCCAACCACCACCACCACCCTCCCCGGGTCCCCAGTGCCCAGTCTTGGCTTCCCCAAGCCATCCCAACTCTTCTGCTCACCCCAGCCCCTAGCCCCACGGTGACACCTCTTTATATGGGCTGTGCATGCCAGAGCCCTCCAGAACTAAAGCTTCCTTTCCCCCACCTCTGAAGCCACCTCCGCTTGCAGGAAGGAATCCCCCCAGCATGCACGGGTCATCTCCACCTCCCCACGCACCATTCACCTCCACCTCCCCGTAGGCGTCTTGGTACCAGAGCAGGACGTTCAGGCGACACTTGACATAGAGCAGAGCAGCCAGCAGCAGGGGCAGAAA